GTCGTTTATGTAAATTGTGAACAACAGGCCCAACACTGACCCCTGAGGAACACCACTTGTGACGTGGCCCCATTCTGATTTCTCCCCATTTATGCAAACTCTCTGCTGTCTATTTGTCAGCCATGCCTCTACCCAGGAAAAAATTTCTCCTCCTATTCCGTGTGCCTTAAGTTTCCTCAATAGCCTCTGGTGTGGAACTCTATCGAAATACTGGAAATCCAATTAATTCATTCCAGACACCCAAAAGTATTAAACAAAATAATTTTTTTATATGAAATATACATTTCCCTACACAGAAAACAATGATACGTGCACAGTAAACAATACTGAAATCACACTTACCTTTATTGTGGACTTGTTGATGAGTGATGAGACACGAGGAGGGGAGAGGATGAAGATGTTCTATTGTTTGGAAGGGGAATCCCCTTCCATAAAGACTTCAGGTAACAGGCACTTTTCTGGGGTTACCTCCCTTCTGCCACTTGGAACAACTGGAGAGTCACTGGACCCCTGTCGCACAAAATATTTGTCCAGAGAGCTCTGTTTCGCGCCTCCCTTTAAGATTTCCCTAAAATGGGGCACGAGTACATGTTGCCAATATGGCTTGGAACAACTGTGTCAGGATAATATTCATCCATAAATGCTTGCAACTTTGTCCACATTGTACACATTTCCTTAATCTTTGATGAAGGCAACTTCCTCCGTCTCTCTTCCTCCTCCTCTGAAGCACATTCCTGAGCTGTGATCTGTTGCTGTTGCATCTGAAACTCTTGCAGCTCTGTAGTGGTTAGCTCTTCATCGTCGTCCTCCACCAACGCTTCCACATCCTCGCCACTAACCTCCAACCCCATGGACTTCCCCAATGCCACAATAGATTCCACAACTGCATAGTCTCCTGAGGGTTAGCCCCAAACCCTTCAAAATCCCTCTCTTGAACATATGTGGCCACAATTTTTTCCAAGCAGAGCTCAAAGTCCTGCAGTCACTCCCTCCCAAACCTTACCTATAAGGTTTATGCAACTGAGGATACTGAAGTGATCTTTCCAAAACTCTCTTAGGGTCAATTCAGTGTCTGAGGTCACTTCAAAACACTTTTGAAACACTGCTTTGGTGTACAGTTTTTTAAAGTTTGAAATGACCTGCTGGTCCATGGGCTGGAGGAGAGAAGTGGTATTAGGAGGCAAAAGCTTCATTTTGATAAAGCTCAACTCCCCCACAATTTGCTCTTGCAAGTCGTGAGGATGAGCGGGAGCACTGTCCATTACCAGGAGGCACTTGAGTGACTATTTTCCAGGAGGTACTTTTTCACAGTGGGGCCAACATGTCATAGAACCAGCCCAGGAAAATGTCCTATTTGGCCCATGCCATACTGTTTGCTCTCCATATCATACACAATTAGTCTTGACGACATTTTTTTTTCTTGAACACTGGGAGTTCAGAGTGATATACAAGTAAAGGCTTCACTTTGCAATCCCTACTAGCATTACTACAAAACATGAGAGTTAACCTGTCTTTCATAGGCTTGTGTCCTGGGAGTGCCTTTTCCTCCTGAGTAATGTAGGTCTGTTTGGCATTTTCTCCCAAACAGGCCTGTTTCGTCACAATTGAACACTTGTTGGGGTTTTAATTTTTCAGTGTCCATGTACTCCTTAAAGTCCTGCACATATTTTTTTAGCCGCTTTTTTTGTCAAAACTGGCAGCCCCACCATGCCTTATCACAAATGTGTTGCCACTACAATTCTTAAATCTCTCAAACCACCTTTGCTGGCCTTAGATTCATCAGTAGCAGCACTATTTGGAGGCAATTTCTTAATGAGATCCGCATGCAACTGCCTTGCCCTTTTTACATATTATTGACTGAGAAACACTATCGCCTGATAATTGTTTTTTCCCTTTATCCACACCAACAACAGTCTCTCCACATCTTCGAGTATTTGTGATCTCTATTTGCAAGCAACTTGCAACCTTTTGCAACAACAGCTTCCTTGATTGCCTTTTTGTTGGACAAGATAGTAGTGTGGTTGAATGGGGGTTTTTTATATAACCCCTTTTCCCCAAATCCAAATACGCACTCCACTCTCTTACTTTGCGATTATCTCTTTCTTAATTCGATAGTACACCCTCACTCTTTTTACCACAGGGTTGGGACTAAAGCTTTCTTGGGGCCCATGGTGGCTTATTAGCAGTTACAAGCACAAAAAACAATGGAATAATACAAAATATATTGCATGTACATGTGAATCGTCCTCACTGACTTTGTAAACAATGGCACTCTGGCTGTACACAGAGTGAGTGGCCGGGCCCACTCAGGCCATGCGGACATGTTCAGGACAAAAGCCCTTAACCGAGTTGTTTGGCGTTGAGCCAATATTTTTATGTCAATGCAAGCTGTTAGCCGATTTTGGCGCTAACTAATGAAGCCTTTACCCGAGGGTCCACTGTATATATTATGTTAGGTAATGGCTATACTATAAGCAACATAGTAAATACCTCATATCTTGTACATGTGACCATTTACCTAGCATGTTTTGAGTATTCTTACCAGTAATTTAATGACCTATATAGCTACCATACAAAAGTTTATTACATAAAAAATTCTTTCCCCCAGACACTCAGGTTATAACCTGAGCTACTGACCTGTACAATAATATTCTGTATGTAATTCCTGTTAAGTTCTTATTGTGGGGAAGAAATGAGGATGAAATTCATAACTATGTGTTTGTACTCATGAGAGACTGACTTCTCTCTCTCACACCCTCCCTTACTCTCTCCTATGCCTATACATGTATTACTCTCTCAGTTCTTTCTCTTCCAGCTGGCAAGGGAGTCTTTTTTTTTCTTTTTAACCCTTTGAGGGTTGGTCACGTACATGTACACCATTACACCTGGGGTCGGTCACGTACTTATACGCGTAAATTTTAGAGCCTTCAAATCGAGCAGGAGAAAGCTGGTAGGCCTACATGCGAGAGAATGGGTCTGTGTGGTCAGTGTGCACAGTATCAAAAAATATCGTGGAGCCAGTGGTGCATTGTGGGAATGCCATTTCAGTAAGCCTTGTTCACCATGCCTCACGGTAAGAAACACCTCACTCCTCAGCAAATTGGGATTCTTTTTGTTACCAAGTGACAGTTCAAACACAGATGGAAGTGTCAGTAAAGAAGAATTTCAGGGTTATGAGAAGTTTGTGACTGAAAATAATGAACGTAATAGCAGTAATAGTGATGAAAACCCAGACGACCCTCAACCTTCCACCTCTCATACTGGGCCGTCTTGTTCACATCCAGTTGTACCAGAATGAAAGCGGAAACTCGTATTTTCCCATGTCCAGGACTCGGATGTGAGCAGTGCTGATGATAATGATAGTGAATATGATCTTCAAGCTCTTGAAAACAGTAGCGAGAGTGAAGTGTAATATTCTCCAGCGAAGCGTCATTATGTACGATGCTACCTGTGCTCTGGTAGTGTTCCATATGTTATTCCAAAGGTAAGGAGTACATCTCATGGCCGTACAACAGGAACAGATAGTGAAAATGAAGATGATATTGTTACAATGGGGATTGGCAGGAAGCTGCCAATTTTGCTTCCATTCCCCATCACTTTGATGAAAGTCAAAGTGGAATACGGCCATCTCATACACTTGGGAACAATGTCACTGAACTGGAATGCTTGGAGTTATTCTTTGACAAACCCCTGATGGAAATTATTGTCTGGGAAAGCAACACATACTACGAGTACACCATGGCAAACAATTTTTTCACCAAGATCACGCCTACACCAGTGGAAAGAGACAGCTGTGGCTGAGATGTATCTTTTCTTTGCTACAATAATGCTTATGCCACATGTGTATAAACACAGTGTCAAATCATACTGGTTGACAGACTGCCTGATTTCAACCCCAGCTTTCAGTGACATCATACCAGTGAATCGATTTGTGTTACTGTTACGTATGCTAAACTTCTCAGACAAAACAAGGCCTGACAGAAAAGACAGGTTATATAAGATTAGGATTGTGTTTATGTATCAGAAACAAATTCAGTATGTATTTTTATCCCTTCAGGAAGCTTGTTATTGATGAGTCTTTGATTTTGTTCATAGGTAGACTGTCATTCAAGCAGTATATACCAAGCAAGAGGAAATGCTTTAGTATAAAGATGTTTGTACTTTATGATTGCTACAGTGGCCTTCCAGTGGATATTGTTGTGTACACTGGAAGTAATACATTGCAAGATACCAGGAAGTTATTGGTTATCTCTGGTGATGTGGTTAGAACAATGATGGAACCATATCTTGGTAAGGGGCATATAATACATACTGATGACTAGTACACAAGCCCCTTACTCAGCAATTTTTTGCAAGTGAACATGACAGATGTGTGTGGTAACAGTGCGTGCAAATCATTAGCATATGCCTAGGTTCGACGCAGGCACTCATAGAGGTGAGGTGCAGGCGTTTGCTGCCAAATACATCATGGCATTTCGGTGGCATGACAAACGAGGTGTCACACTGTTGTCATCAGTTCACTGAAATGAAATGACAGAAAGTGGCAGGCAGAATAGAGACCAATGAACCCATTCAAAAACCTGCAGCTGTGGTGGACAACACCCTCAATATGCACTCAGTGGACAAATGTGACATGCAAATTTGGTTTGCTTATTGTGTTTGCGTCTATATCTTGGTAAGTTCTGATCACAAAAAAAAGTTGGGGGGGCTTAAAACAATCAGAAAATTAATCTTAACATTTTCATAAGAAAATATATATATTTTTTTTTTTGTTTTGAAAACTCTACGACACCAGGAGATACTTCAGGATTTGGGGTTGCGACAGTCAAAGGGTTAAATGATTTCCCATTGTGAATAATACAGTATCTTGATTAAGAGAGGGTTGACTGTAGTCTTTACTTGAAATTTAATATCTCAAGTATTTAATATAGCATAATAAGAAATTTTTGAGTTTGAGAAGCTTGCAAATTATGGAATTTAATTGATTATCATTTTTTCAGGTATGGTGGTGTTTATCAGGATTTTCCCCAAAAAACAACCTTACTGATTACCAAGAAGATTACAATCTTAACAAGAAGTAACAGCTACAGTAACTTCTTACATCAATGAAATTAACAATGTTATGAAGGACATTGCCATCTTAACAAGAAGAAACAACTTCAGTATCTTCAAACATCAGTGAAGTTAACAATATAATCTTGACTCATTTAAATTATTATATATATTGTTACTGTTTTTAATTTTTATAGTTACAGTAGGGCCCCGCTTTACGGAGTTTCGCCTTACAGCGTTCCACTAATGCCGCAATTTCAAATTATGACCAAAATTTGCTATACGGCAAGCAGTCTTTCAAATATGGCATACCCCACCCAGTTTGTTTACATTCCCTTTAAGCACATCTCTCTATTATGTCTCGAAATTTTTCAAAATTTCAAGTATTTTAAAGTTATTGCATATTTTATATGTACTCTGATAATTATACTTATGTGTACCTGTACCTAAGTATACTTACACACTGTGCTGGCATGCAGGTACACATTAAAATCATTAAGTCTCTCTCTACTCTTGAAGATGCTATATTAACCTTTTGACTGTCGCAAGCCCCTTTCTGAAACTGTCATTCTATGTCGCAAAATGCAGTGGACCTCCGCATAACGATCACCTCCGAATGCGACCAATTATGTAAGTGTATTTATGTAAGTGCGTTTGTACGTGTATGTTTGGGGGTCTGAAATGGACTAATCTACTTCACAATATTCCTTATGGGAACAAATTCGGTCAGTACTGGCACCTGAACATACTTCTGGAGTGAAAAAATATCGTTAACCGGGGGTCCACTGTATTCAAAAAAAAAAAAAAAAAAATTCTTATGAAAATGTTAAGATTATTTTTCTGATTGTTGTAGTTAAAAAAAAAAAAATTGCCATCAGAACTTACCGGGATATAGAGGCGTGAAGTTGGTAGAAAATGAGCCGCGTATGGCAACAGCGGTGACTGCCACTTACCTGGTAAACTTTGGTTTACTTGTATTCACTATTTTATTTTTTCACATAACTTATGTGGCTTGTGAGTCCAAAGTAAGGTGCAATGTACATATATGCACTCGTTGTATACAACACAATAAATGCACAAACATAATTATCAATATATTGTTTACAAAACTTGTTTACACAAACAGACAATACAAAATACTGTTTATTACTATTGTTTTATAATATATATACAAATGCACAGTCACTGGACATGTTTCTAGAAGTTCTGCAGCTTGTGGAACTCTTTGAAACATGGTTTCATACACAATGGTGTTTTATACTCCTTACACATAAAACAAGTGTGTCTGCATTTTTATGAGCATTAGCAGGCAGTTGTGTTACGTAGTTATCGTAGGTAAATGGCCATGTGTCATCATTCATTCTTTCCTACCTTTTTTGTTTCCTTACTTTTTTTTTCTTCCTTCCTTTTATCTCATCCTTCCTTCCTTCCTTCTGGTTTCTATAATATATATACATGTACACATATACATGTATAGTCACTAGATACTTTCATATAACTGCTATTATCTTCATTCAGCAAGCCTGTCTTGTGTGTGAGTGTGTGGCTTCTAATTGTTTTGAGTCAGTTGTCAAAATGACATATTGTCTCATTACTCACTTCCCCTACCACCTGTCAAAACAGTAGGGTCGGATGCTAGCTTCCCCTCCATCCTATATAATTTTCTTTCTCTCTCTTTCTCCTTCATTCTTCATTCTCCTTCATTCTTCCTTCTGCTTTTAGTTTATATGTGGCACGGGTTATTTAATGCCCAACATTTAGAACTTTGCTTTTGTAATTTAAAACGCTCTGCCCTTTCCGACCTTTGCATCAGTCTATTAAATCACCCTGGAGTGCTCAGTGCCTCTTTTAGAATAAATTTGGGGAGGCCTATTTTGGTGCATCAGAAATTTGTTTATGTCCTATTTTTTCCCCATCTGTCGTTATGTAAAAGGAACAACACCCCCAACCCAAAAACCCCTGAGGAACACCATTTTGGACGTGGCCCCTTTTTATTTCCCCCTTTATGCAAACTCTCTGCTGTCATTTGTCGCCACCCTTTAACCCAGAAAAAATTTTCTCCTCCTATTTCCGTGTGCCTTTAATTTCCTCAATACCTCTGGGGGAACTCTATCGAAATACTGGAAATCCAATTAATTCATTCCAAAACCCCAAATTTTAAAAACAAAAAAATTTTTTTATATGAAATAACATTCCCTACACAGAAAACAATGATACTGCCATAAACAATATGAAATCACATTTCCTTTTATGTGGACTTGTTGAGATGATGAGACACGAGGAGGGAAGGATAAAAGATTTTCTATTTTTTGGAAGGGGAATCCCCTTTTCCATAAAGATTTCAGGTAACAGGCCTTTGGGGGTTCCCCTTCTGCCCTTGAAAACCCTGGAGGGCCCTGGACCCCTGCGCAAAAAATATTTGCCCCGGGGTTGTTTCGGCCCCCTTTTAAGATTTCCCAAAAATGGGGCCAGTAATTTCCAAATATGGCTTGGAAAAAACTGTGTCAGGTAATATTCACCAAAATTTTTTGAACTTTTGTCCACATTGTACACATTTCCTTAATTTTTGATGAGGCAAACTTCCTCCGTCTTTTTCCCTCCTCCTCTAAAGCACTTTCCTGAGCTTATCTGTTGCTTTGCATCTAACTCTTGCAGCTCGTGTGGTTAGCTCTTCATCCGTCCTCACCAAACCTTCCCACATCCTCGCCACAAACCTCCAACCCCAGGACTTCCCCAATGCCACAAAGATTCCACAACTGGCATAGCCCTGGGGTTTACCCCCCAAACCCCCTTCAAAACCCCTCTCTTGAACATTTTGGGGCCCAAAATTTTTTTTCCAAGAAACCCAAAAGGGCCCCTGCGTCACCCCCTCCCAAACCTTCCCCTATAAGGTTTATGCAACTGGGGGATCGAATGATCTTTCCAAAACCCCTTTTTAGGGTCAATTCAGTGTCTGAGGCACTAAAAAACATTTTTGAACACTGCTTTGTGTACTTTTTTTTAAATTTGAAATACCTGCTGGTCCATGGGTGGAGGGAGAAGGGGTTGGGAGCAAAAGCTTCACTTTGTAAAGCCAACCCCCCACAATTTGCTCTTGCAAGTCGTGAGGATGAGCGGGAGCCTGTTTTTTACCGGGAGGCCTTGGTGACTATTTTTCCAGGGGTTTTTTTCCGGGGGGCCAAACATTTCATAGAACCATCCAGGAAAATGTCCCTAGGGGCCCTCCCAAAACTTTTTTGCTTCCATATCAACAAAATTTATTTGACACATTGTTTTTTCTTGAACACGGGGATTTTCCCGAGTGATATACAATAAAGGCTTCACTTTGCAACCCACACATTACTACAAAAATGGAGTTAACCGTCTTCAAAGGTTTGTTCCCTGGGAGTCCCTTTTTCCCCCTGAGAAATGAGTCCGTTTGGCATTTTCCCCAAAAACAGGCCGTTTCGTCAATTGAACACTTTTTGGGGTTTTAATTTTTCAGTGTCCATGTACTCCTTAAATCCTGCACATATCTTTTGGGGCCGTTTTTTTTTGGTCGAATGCACCCCCCCGCCTTTTCACACTGTGTAGCCACTACAATTTTTAAATCTCTCAAACCAGCCTTTGCTGGCCTTAAAATTATCATAGCAGCACTATTGGAGCAATTCTTAATGAGACCGCATGCAACTGCCTTCCCTTTTCACATATTATTGATGAGAAACACTATCGCCGATAATTTTTTTTTCTCGTTTATCCACCAACAACAGTTCTCCACCTTCGGTTTTTGTGTCTTATTTTGCAACATACTTGCCCTTTTGCAACCGCTTCCTTGATTCCTTTTTTTTGGGACAAATATATGTGGTTGAATGGGGTTTGTTAAAACCTTTAAAACCCAATTACGCACTCCCTCTCTTACTTGCGTTTTATCTTTTTCTTTAATTCGTGTACCCCACTCTTTTTACCCACGGGGTTTGGCACTAAAGTTTTTTGGGGCCATGGGGGCTTTTTTTGCAGTTACGACAAAAAAAAAGGGAATAATACAAAAAAATTTGCATGTACATGTGGAACGTCCTCATACTTTGTAAACTGGCACTCGGCGTACACAGAGTGAGTGGCCGGGGGCCCACTCGGGGCCAGCGGCATGTTAGGAAAAAACCCTTAAACCGGTTTTTGGCGTTGACCCAATTTTTTATTCAATCAAGCTTTTGCCGATTTTGGCGCTAAAAAAGAAGCCTTTCCCCGAGGGTCCCTGTATTATTAGTTAGGTAATGGCTATACTATAAGCAAATAGTAAATCCTCAATCTTGACGTACCATTACCTAGATTTTTTGATATTTTTACCATAATTAATGACCATATAGCTACCATAAAAAGTTTATTACATAAAAATATCTTTCCCCCAGACCTCAGGTTTAACCGAGTTTACGCCCTGTAAATAAAATTTGTATGAAATTCCCTGTTAAGTTTTTATTGTGGGAAGAAAAAGGATAATTATACATGTTTTTGACTCATGAGAGACGACTTCTCTCTCTCACACCCCCCCTTACTCCTCCTATCCCTAACATGTATTACTCTCTCTTTTCTTTCTCTTCCCAGCTGGCGGGATCTTTTTTTTTTTTTTTAAACCCCTTGGGGGGTTGGCACGTACATGAAACCCCATTACACCTGGGGCGGTCACTTCTTATACGAAAATTTTAGAGCCTTAAAATCGAGCGGGAAAGAAAGCGGTAGGTAAAGCGAGAAAAGGGGTTTTCTGTGTGGTCAGGGCACAGTATCAAAAATAGTGGAGCCATGGTGCATTGGGGGGGAATGCCTTTTTCTAAGTTGTCCCCATGCCTAAAGGTAAAAACACCTCACCCTCAGCAAATTGGGATTTTTTTGTTCCAAGTGACAGTTAAAAACACAGATAAGTGTCAGTAAAGAAGAATTTCGGGGTTTGAAAATTTTGTGACTGAAAAATGAACTAAAGAATAATAGTGATAAAACCCAGAAAACCCTAAACCCTTCCCCCTCTCTACGGGGCCGGCTTGTTCACATCCTTTTGTACCAGAATGAAACGGAAACTCGATTTTCCCAGCCAGGACTCGATGTGAGCTTGCTGAGATAAGATAGTGAATAGATCTTAAAGCTCGAAACGTGCGAGAGGAATGAAATTTTTCTCCGCGAAGCTCATTATGTCGATGCTACCTGTGCTTTGGTAGTGTTCCATAGTTTTCCCAAAAGGGTAAGGAGTACATCTCATGGCCGTAAAAAGAACAGATAGTAAAATTTAAAGATAAATTTTGTTACAAGGGGGTTTGGGCAGGAAGCGCCTTTTTTGTTTCCCTTTCCCCCATCACTTTGATGAAAGTCAAAGTGGAATGGGCCATCTCAAAACTTGGGAACAAAGGCACTGAACGGAATGCTTGGAGTTATTCTTTGAAAAACCCCCTGAGGGAAATTTATTTCTGGGAAAGCAACACAATACAGTACACCTGGAAAAACAATTTTTTCACCAAGACCCCCTACACCAGTGGAAAGAGACAGCTGGGGCTGAGATGTATCTTTTTTTTGCTACAAAATGCTTATGCCACATTGAAAACACAGTGTCAAATAAAGGGTTTGACAACTCCCTGATTTCAACCCCGCTTTCAGTGACATCATACCGTGAATCGTTGTGTTATGTTAGTATGAAAAATTCTCAGCAAAACAACCCTGACGAAAAGACGGGTTATATAAGATTAGGTTTGTTTTTTAAGTATCAGAAAAAAATTCGTATTATTTTTATCCCTTCGGGAACTGTTTTGATGAGTCTTTGATTTTTTCATAGGTAACTGTCATTAAGCATTATTCCCAAGCAAGAGGAAATGTTTTTATAAAAATTTTGTATTTTTATAAATTGCTACAGGGCCTTCCAGGTTTTTGTTGTGTCACGGGAAAGAAATACATTCAAGATACCAGGAAGTTTTGGGTTTCTCTGGTGATGGGGTTAGAAAAATGATGGAACCTACGGTAAGGGGCAAAAAATACATACGATACAGTACACAACCCCCTTACCCCGCAATTTTTTGCAAGTGAACATGACAGATGTGTGTGGAAACTGGTGCAAATCATTGCATATGCCT